CGTCTTTATTTACATAATCAATATCTGCCTGTGTTTCTCTCGTTCTCAATTACCAATGTCACAGGCTTCAATAGTCCTATCATGGAAAGCAGCTGAGTTAGATAATTTCTTCATAAATTAGGCAAATTATATCCATATTTATAATAATCATATCAAGCATCACGCAAGCTACCTACATACCAAAAATCACGACGATCCGTCAAACGGTTCTTGAGTTTGCCTCTTTTGAATATTTTCAAACAGATAGCCCTGCAGTTCCAGAGCAAGCCGCTAGGGGGCCCAATCTCACGTCACGTCTTCCCCAGCACAAGAGCTACCTACCATCCAAATTTCGTGACCCCAGCATGTCTAGATCATGAGATATCAAAACCGGAAGTTCAGCTGCAGTACCATAACAAGCCGCTAGGGGGTCCAAAATCTAATATTTCCAGGTCTCATCAAGACCTACCAATCAAAACAATCCATTTAAGCCTTCTCAAGTTATCGTGTCCCGTGACGGACGGACGGACACACGCATACACGAACGCCTCTGAAAACATAACCTTCTTGGCGAAGGAAATTAACCTGTGCCTGGGATACGAAGGTTTACGTGAAGAGTGCCGCTCGTTGAAGATTTCAGATTTTTGTAAGGGTCGGGAACAATAAAATGCAAATTGGTCAAATGAGAACCTTAGGACGGAGGTATGAAATCTCCACGTTCTTGTTCTTCTTGATGCGGGTAATCTTTATATCTGTAACGAGGCAATTGATTGGTACTCGTGACAGAATACAGAGGATTGATGTGTACTTAGCCTAGTTAAAGGACAAGGTCCTCACCTCCCACCTGTAATTTGAATACACTGTCTCGTTCACGCAAAAAAAATTCAATACGTTTCTTTCACTGCGGAATCCATACATTTTGCATCTGTAGGTTGTAACGGAAACGAGTGGGGCCATGGATTGGTCTGCTCCATTCGAGTAAGACATAGTTTGTGACAAAGCGTGGGCTGGGGATGACAGCTTCGTACATGTAGGTGGATTAGATTTGATGAGCTCAGTTCATTAGATATTAGTATCGTGACAAAATGTAAGAGCAACGACCCATTTAACAAGCGGATATAAAGTTACAATGGACACTTTGCCTTTACATAAAGCCGTAAAGCCCAGACTAATTCGCATCTTGTCTCACAGCACAAGCCTTAACATCACCGAATACGTGTAAGTTCAAGGATCCCAGTCTGTCTGAACTGAAGTAGCTTTGATTCTGTTTCCATGGCGACGCTTCATGGTCAGATTCGATGACGGAAATAGTCTGGCAATGGCGATTATTAGCAGCATTAAGTTCAAATGTCCAAGAGCAAGACACATCTCCTAGGCAATGGCAGATTCAGAATTAACGGAACTCGGTGGGTGGGTGTTATATTTACGTATGCAGACACTCTTTAATAGGTTATCATCTTGGCATATAGCACGCTGACTGGTAGAGAAGAGTAAGTTATTGCCATGGGAAAGCCTTTGATGAAAATCACTGCAGCTGCAGGCATATTTCCACCCTGGTGTCAAGTGCCTTAAACTCCGCTTTCTGAGCTTTTTGTGCTCCCTGAGCTGCAGGCGAAGTAACAGGACCCTTCTGAGAAGTGCTTTGAGAGATACCGGAGATGTCGGAAGAACAAAGCGAGCAGTAGCACCGCCGTCATCATAGTTTTCCGTGGCTTTCATACTCCCCCATACAGCCCCGGCCATGGTGCCATATGTATTAGATTTGTGAAGAAAAGACAATTGTTTAAAAATCATCTTTCTCACTTCAGGATTACAAACATACAGGGTACATTATTTTGACTGTTACAGCAGTTTGGTGTTATTATGGCTTGGTAAGAATTTATTCCCAAATCACCAAATTCACACTGAAATTCCAGCTACATCTTTAATCTCCTTCAAGAGAGCTAGCCTACACGGAACTATGATTCACTGAGATATAGTAGCATACATGCACCAATGCTGTTATGGGAATGTTCTATATATGGAATGGATTATAAAGCATAGTAACTACTTAAGGTGAAGGCTGATTGCTTGTCCTAGATAGAGAAGCATCCAATATCTGATTAGGCCACACCGATTTAATTTTATGGATGACATCCTCTGAAGACCCCCAAACTAGTGCACGCGGGCGAAAAAAATAAAAATCCGGCCAAAAATAAAAATGCTACAAAACCACAGGAATACAAACCTGGTGAATTTGGCGCATTACATAGCGACGTATACGACAGGCCGACACATGCTGGATTTTTGCGGAATATATGAATCGACACTGCTGTACGTATGTACTGAGTTCTTGAGTCTTGGAGCTTCGGTAGCCTGGCTGCCGTCAACCAGAGTTATCACCACCATGCACTACCCAGGCCTAAAGCCAGGCCAGAGCCTCGGAATACGTGATCTCTTTTTTTTTTTTGTGAGATCGGGCGAAAATCAATGCGCGCGCGGATGTCATCCATAAAATTAAATCGGTGTGGCCTTACTGTAATTCACTTTATGTTCGCGGTAGCAAAAGTTTGTGGTCTGCAGAGAAAAATGGACACATTCACAGAGCTACATGTATATGTTCACGGTGGTGACAGGTACAGTAAAAAACAAAGTCAGCAAATTAGTTGTTAACAGTAATCATACGTTTGTGGTACAGAAGTGAATGCAAAAACCACTAACATAAAAATACCGCGAAAAAAATCATTACACTACAGTATATTGCTGCAGATGTTGCTGTCATAGGGGTTGGCAGCAGTCATTGATTGAATAACAACAGCTGGAGAAATAATGAGTTCCAGCGTTTAATGAAGTAATCACGGTTGTGTCAAACTGGTAGCTGTAGGCAAGAGACTATTAATTTGGTGTGAAAGTGCACACAAAGGAAGCTTCTCTTTCAAACCCCTGAAGGCACAATCTGCATGCAGTAACAGCCAAATTGTGCCAAAGGAATCGTCTCTATTGCAGATACTGTCCGATGTTTTTTCAACCTCTATCCATTTAAGGATAATATGAAGTATGAATTCTACTGGCTGCATGTTGAGTGAGGAATAAATATGTATATAGACACATAAATCTGGAGGGAATGTTTAATGACTGAACCGCTTTTGAGCCTGGTCTCCTTCATCATGCTTTAATCTTGTCCTGACTGTAACCACATCTACAGACCAGACTTTATGTTTGGTTAAGAGTAGAATTCTGTAGGAAGTAGATTGGTAAATAAATACAACAGGTCACTGCAAATCTAGCTTCATGATACTTTACTGGGACGTGACTGTATATTCAAACTGATACAACTACTCACTAGCATGTATGTACCTGCCAGTTTTATTAGCATTACACATTATGCACTCTTACCCACAATAATAGTAAGAAAATTTTACATAGTTTGATTTCTACAATACAAGTCAAGAAGACTTTACCTATATTGATTTATTGTTGTTACTCCCACTTATGAAAATACATTTTACAGTAACGTTTACCCACATAAAGACTGTACGTGAAAAAAATAGTTGATACAAACACAAAAGGCAACAGAAAATTATACAACATAAAAAGTTAAATAATACTAAATAGCTAGTAAATAACTATGACTCGCTGGAAGGCAA